CTTATGAGCTTCGATGAAGGTACTTGTATCGGCCTAAAATATTATTAAACTTGGAGGTTTTGCTAATCAAATTAATGCTTTAGAAACAGCAAGACATGAGCTATGAGCTACCCAAAGTATATTGATAGATATCATCGCATTGATCTGTACAAGCAAAAAGAAAATGCACAATTTTCGGCCATTTTCGGCGGCGTCAGGCAGCTAAAATGGCGATTTTCAAACTTTCCTCAATTTCAAAAAAACTAAAGCGCTTCAGGACCTTTGAATGGTATTTTCAACTCACTTCAGAGGTGTTTTGGGCAAAATATGAAGAAATCGAAAATTTCACGACTGTCATCTCATTCTCGGTATTTACAGGAACTGGCTCTTAATATGTTATAGCACTGTTTCTGAGTTAAACCACAGAGAGGTGAAGGCAATTTAATTCACAGTATATAAAGATCTAGACACCATCAACTTTTTATTCAAAAGTTCTCTCTCATGTGTGTTTTCTATTCTCTGAAGTGATATGTTGATGGATTTTAAATTTGTCAATCTCCCTGGAAACTGCATTTCTAAGATGATCATATCTATTCCCCTCCTTAATAACATGAAGGCTAATATTTTCTTTAGCTACAACAGTTCAAGAGAGAAAAATATGAACCCTGTAGATGGACTGCCTGGTTTACCATCAGGTAGGTGTCAAAGGTGGTTTACCTGGAATGCTGAGTCACATTAGTTTATAACCAATATTGCCACTGCAAAGATACTTTTTAACTGTGATATGTATTATTAGCAGCAAGTGACATTGTGGTTGTGAGTTAGATATTTGGTAACATTATTGTTTTGTGCTTTTTAACCGCGCAGCCATGGGCCGAGCGCGGTTCATGGTTTACCCGTGGTTTTTTTTTCGTTTTGTATGCGACCAGAGCCAAGCTTTCACTCAGCCAAATTTTGAGTCACGCAACCTGTGATGTTTACTCGCCAAAAGCTGTTGAAACATTAATAAATCTCATCTCCGATACTGACTTTCGCGGGA